TGTCTACAAATCTATCTACCTGTGTATGTAAAATTTTTTCCTATATATTCATTTCAATCCTTTGTTATCTATCTATATCTATCTATCTATCTATCTATCTATCTATCACAATCTGCTCATGATCTATCTATCTCTCTCTCTATCTATCTATCTATCTATCTCAGTCTCTTCATCTCTCTGTCTGCCTGTCTGTATATCTGTCTATATAATTTATGAATAAATGTTTGTTTATGAGTAAATTAGCAACTATGTGGTAGAAAATCCTCAGTTTCCTACATGAAGCATTGTCATTATTATTCGTGTTAGATAAGTCATTATTTCATCTTATTTGTATTGCTTGTTTACACCCAATAGTAGTAATATATGTAATAGTTTTAAGTTTTCCAAGCATTGTCATTACTATTATTATTATTATTATTATTTGTGTATGTTATGTTTCCTGCATTGTATCCTGTAGAGCCGGGCCCAACTATAGTACTTAGGCCCTATAGGAGAATTATCATTTAATTGATAGCACTTTTCTTAGTATGTGGGCTGTTCCTAGTAGGGCGATCTTCTGGGCAACTTGTATGTTGATGTTACTTCGGACACTCTTAGCCCATTCCTTTTCCCACAAGGCTTAGAGCTCCAATTACTATTGGTACAGTGTCAGTCTTCATTCCCCACTTCCTGTTAATCTCGATCACCAGCTGCTTGTATTTGGACAATTACTCAATAATTTTCATGGTGGTGTTCCTCTCAAATGGTACTGCTATGTCAATAAGCGTACACTTCCTGAATTTCTTGTCTTTTATGATAATATCAGGTCTGCTGGCTTTTATTTCCCTGTCAGTTTGAATTCGCATGTCCCAGAGGATAGTTACATTGTTATTTTGGTTAACTGTGTCGGGTTTATACCATCTCTCAGTGGTTTCGATTTTGTGCTTCTTGCATATCTTCCGGTGCATATCTGTCGATCCATTGTTATGTCTGTGGGGATATTCATTTTTTGCTATTATTAGTATTATTAATATTCATTTTTCGTTAATCATTATTCCATGTCATTTTGTTGCTTGTTTACACCTAATAGTAGTAACAGATATAATAGTTTTCTGAATTCATTACTGTGAAGCATTGTCAATGTTATGGTTATTATTATTATTATTATTATTATTATTCATTTTGACCCGTCATTCTTTCATTTTATTTGTAATACAGGTTTGCATCCAATATCAGAATTAGATGCGGTAGTTTTACGTTGTCGGAATTTCTTTCATCTGCAGAGTCAATGTTATTCACTTTTAACGGCTTTGTTTCTGTCATCTTATTTTTGTTCGTTTGTTTTTCTCTTGCAACGTTCAGGATGTTTTTACATTTTACGACCATTAAATAAGCTGTATGGATGAGAATATTGCATTTGTCTAACGTTTGTAGATTGTAAAACTGACGTGATTGTTTCGATAAAAATTCAACACAAAAATATGAAAGAAAATTAGTTATAAATTAACAAAAATTCCTACTATAATATAAACCTAATAGAATATTGGTAATTTGATAGGGAACATAAAAGAGTTTAGTTTTCTTCTGATTTCTTAAAAAGGCACTAGTGTTGACTATTATTGAATATAGACATTTATATCGTAAGAGAATTGATAGGTCTTTTCTTCTCGCCAGTAACGCAGAATATCTATATTCTATGTATGTATGTATGTTATTTTTAAGCCTGGTCGAGTCTGGCATAAGAATGAAGCAGTGGAGCACTTGTGACGAACTCACTGCATGAAAGGATTGGTCTGTGAGACTATCCTGGTAATAATTGCACAACGGCAGGCACCCTATCTATCGAAGATCTGAAAACAAACCTACTGGAATCTGCTCCCATGTCAAACCCACAATTTAAAAAGGTATTGTGTTGCGTTCGTTTCCGAATACAACAAAACAGTTTATCTATCTATCTATCTATCTATCTATCTATCTATCTATCTATCTATCTATCTATCTAATTCTGAGTATATCTATGTTATTCTGCTCATACATATCTATCTATCTATCTATCTATCTATCTATCTATCTATCTATCTATCTGATGTTCCCTATTTCTCTCGTCTTTCTCTCTATCTACAAACATATGTGCGTCGACTTGTCTCTATCTATCTAAATATCTATCAGTCTCTCATAACCTTCTTTCTTTCTTTCTTTCTTTCTTTCTTTCTTTCTATCTATCTATCTATCATATCCGTTTCTATCAATTTAAATATCTATCAGTCTATCATATCCTTCTTTCTTTCTTTCTTTCTTTCTTTCTTTCTTTCTCAATCAATTCATTATCTTATTTTTCCTATCTATCTATCTATCTATCTATCTATCTATCTATCTATCTATCTATCTATTTGATTCTGCTCATATCTATCTATCTATCTATCTATCTATCTATCTATCTATCTATCTATCTGATGTTCCCTATTTCTCTCGTCTTTCTCTCTATCTACAAACATATGTGCGTCGACTTGTCTCTATCTATCTAAATATCTATCAGTCTCTCATAACCTTCTTTCTTTCTTTCTTTCCTTCTTTCTTTCTTTCTTTCTATCTATCTATCTATCTATCTATCATATCCGTTTCTATCAATTTAAATATCTATCAGTCTATCATATCCTTCTTTCTTTCTTTCTTTCTCAATCAATTCATTATCTTATTTTTCCTATCTATCTATCTATCTATCTATCTATCTATCTATCTATCTGATTCTGCTCATATCTATCTATCTATCTATCTATCTATCTATCTATCTATCTATCTATCTACCTGTTCTTATTTGTCTTTCTTAAATCGTATATATGTGTTTTATACCAACAGTAATTTATTTTAATCACGCTTATTTCATTTTAAAGATATGTTGATGCTCTTTTTGTGGGTAGCAATATGCTCGTAATTATTTATAATTACGCCTCATATCGGCATAAATGCGATGGTATGCTTTTCCCCGTTTAGATATATAAATACTGCTGTATGTTGAAGAACTTGAAAGGTGTGTGTTCGTGTGTTTAGTTGCGTGTGTAGTTACAAGATGACGCTTTCCTTTCACTGTGTTATTTTGTTATGCGTCTTTTACTTTATTAGTGTTCTGTGGTCGGTGTAGTCATTATTTGTCTATTTAGGTATGTATATTTGTCCCTGTTTATATGTGTGTATGTGTGTCTGTTGCGTGTTGGTCCGTTTCTTTTTTATTGTGTGTATGCGCAAGCGCGTATGTACTCTCGTTCCCGCTTGGTTGTGTGAGAATTTAGCAGTATCACCTTGAGGTAGTAACAAAATGATAATAGACAGGTGCTAGAAAGTGGGAAAAAAATTCAAAGATGAAGTAGCAAAAAGAAAGGGAGAAAGGGAAGAAAGATACAAAAGAAGGATACAAAACCTAGAAGAAGAAGAAGGAGAAGAAGAAGAAGGTTAACTAGGAGAAGAGGAGGAGAGATAGAGAAAAGAGAGAAGAAGAAGAAGAAGAAGAAGAAGAAGAAGAAGAAGAAGAAGAAGAAGAAGAAAGAGATCAAGAAGAAGAAGAGGAGATAGAGTCAAAAGGAGAAGAAAAAGAAGAAGAAAAGGAGACAGAGAAAGAAAAGAGGATTAAAAGAAGAAGGTGGTCTAGGAGAAGAAGAGGAAAAATAAAAATAAAAGAAGGAGAACAAAAAAGAAGAAGAAGAGAACGAGAAGGAGGAGGAGGAGGAGGGGATCTAGGAGAAAGAAGAGAGAAAAAGAGAAAAGAGAGTAAGAAGAAGGTGATCTAAGAGAAGAATAGTTGACAAAAGATAGATAGATAGATAGATAGATAGATAGATATGAGCAGAATCAAATAGATAGAAAGATAAAAGGCGATTAAGAACAAGAGCAAGAAGTTAGAGAGAGAGAGAGAGAGAGAGAGAGAGAAAGAGAAGGCTCGGGAAGAAAGAGTGAGAAGAAGATAGCCAAAAGAAAAGTACAAAAGAAAAAGATACCGAAATTAAAATAAAAAAAGATACGATTTGATGACATTTTTATTTTTTATTTGTTTTATTTAATTATATTTTTGGTGATGTCTCAAGATGTAGGCGAGCGATCATGTCTTTCCACAGATTCCATTTTTTTCTTCATCATATGTGAATTGCCATGATTTCTTAGGAAAGATACTGGTTTCCTATAAACCTTGCATTGAGGCATGTATGTATGTACATTTTCTCTCTCTCTCTCTCTCTCTCTATATATATATATATATATATATATGTGTGTGTGTGTGTGTGTCTACAGATGTCTGTACGGTTTACTTGAACATTAATTTAATGTTAATTGTCGATCACATGATATTTAATGGAAGTTCATATGGCGCGGTAAACTGACTGGTGAGCAAATATTGCACGCTCTCAAGGAGGGGGTGTAGCCATATTTATAGGCAAATACAGGAATAAAAAAAGAAAAATGTATAATGGTGAAAAAAATGATTCTTACCCCACACCTATACTAGTAGGATAGTTCGTTGTTCACGGCCAGCAACAACTCCCTTCCAGGAAATTCTGATATTCTGCTTGCTACACCTTTGGTCAATAATCCACCCAAGAAATGCTTCGCCTGTCCTGATGTATATTTTCGACAATCTCTTTCTGATCAACTTTTTCTTTTATTGTTTTAACTGTCTCATGTTACCATTTTTATGTATTTATTTTTTCTTAAATTCCAGTCTTATTTTCTTTCAATTACAGTCTTAAGCCTTGCCTTGAGGCAAGTATATATATATATATATATATATATATATATATATATATATATATATATATATATATGGTTGGATAGATGTGAGTTTGTGACCCTGGGTTTCACGCTTTAGCGATCGTCAGACAAACTCTATGTTAGCTCTATCTCTGATATTGAGCGCTTTCTAATAAGTACCGCGCATATAATATATAAATAATTATATATATATATATGTATTTATTTATATTTACACACACACACACACACACACACACACACACACACACACACACACAGGCGGGTTCAAAGGCTATATTTTTGGCCGAGCCTCGGAGATACCCACATTAAACCGGCCTTGTGCCACATTCATTCCTCGTGGGTGGATCGATAAATACTCTCTCTCTCTCTCTCTCTCACACACACACACACACACACACACACACACACACACACACACACACACATATATATATATATATATAAAATTGAAGTCAACACCAGAGGCGACAGGTTTGTTTCATGCTAGACGCAATCTCCAGGCCGCCTGACGATTGGTGTCTAGCATGAAACAGCCTGTCGCCTCTGAGTGTTGACTTCAATGTTCACTTTTATATTATATTTACATATGCTCTATCACTGATATTGAGCACTTTTATCCCGTAAATATACCACACCTTAAAACTACATTTCTTTTTATTTATATATATATATATATATATATATATATATATATATATATATATATATATATATATATATAATGTATCTGAGGACGTTTTACCTGTACACTAATTTAATCTTGTCGATGATATCATATTTAATGGAAGTTTTTCGTGGTAAACTGGTCCGTTTACAAATATTGTACACTTTTCAAAGAGGGGATCTTGGTACTTATATCAAATTTAAACTTTGTAACTACCACACCCATCCTAATCTCTCCCCTACCCCTTGGTAAGCCGATTCTAACGAATTCTCTGAACAAGTCTTAATTTCCTCCTTGTATCCGTGACAGGAGTAATTATATTTTAATTCTAAATTTTTTTCTCTCTCTCTTTCTCTCAAATAATTAACTTCTCTCTGTATGCCCTCGGGGTAACGACTATGCTCCTGATACTAACTTAAATGAGGGTAAGAGATGCACATGCACCCCTGAACAACCTTCGTCAACCTCTTCTCCAAGTGGGTCTTTTAGTCCTCATGTATATGAGTGAGCTGCCTTGGTACCCTCCGGCCGGTACGATGTTTCTGATCCAATGAGTAGTTCTATTGCTCTGACCTTTAGGCGAACGAGTCACATATACTCGGAGTACCACGCCTGAATCTTTCCTGTCTTAGTTGCCCGCTCATTAAGGGCGCTGGGGGGAGGGGTTAAACGTTTTTTGGGTTTTGGCGTTAACCCTTCAATTTGTTCACTGAAAATGTGAGTAGTGTAACGAATGTGGTGACAGGTACTCCGGGTCTCTCACGAAAGCGAGTATACTGGTTTGTGTAGCCCTGGCCTATCAAAACGATTGTTTTTTTCCACTTGACATGTCCCAACGTTGGGCTCCGAGATGGGTGGAGAGCACAGGCAGTGAAATTTAATTCAGAGAAATTAGGAATCAAAATAAAATATCCAAGCGTACCTTTCAGACTCGGATTCGGAAAAAGACCATTACGGACTTTCCGAGTTTTTTTTTTGTGCTCGAGTCCTCGGAGGAAACTCCTTTGTCGAAACTGTCCCCTTTCTTGATTGAGAAAGTCGGATTAATCCGAAATCAGTTAAAAAGATGAGAGAAAGAAATTTGATGGAGGTTGAAACACGGTGAATCTATAATTAAAATGAAGATTTTTCACAATATGAATGTCAAAACTTTCCCCTCACACAAGACTGAATAATTCAAAGGGAGTGATCAGAAGTAAAGAGCTCTCTCTGGCCACAACAGAAGAAATTTCATCTGCCTTGGAAAGCCAGGGAGTCTCTGATTACCGAAGGATCTCTATTAGAATAAATGGTGAAAAATATTTGCGCATACATACATCCTTACGTTTAACTCATCTAAAATTCCATCTAAAATCAAAATAGGCTACGATGTTGATCAAATGGAGCTATATATCCCGGCATCACAGATATAGCTGTAGGAATCACCCTACATGCGCAAAACGTAGCCAAAAATACTCTGATCATGCTGAAGAAGAGTGCCCGGATGAAATTAAATGCGCAAATTGCCAGGAAAATCATCCAGCTTACTCTCAAACTTGTGATTAATGGAAAAAATAAAAAGAGATTATAGAAGTGAAATATAAAAGGAAGATTTCTTTTACAGAAGCTAAAATGTAGTTGAATTGTACATGAGGGTCCCTTCTGAGGTAAGAATAGTGGATAGGACAGGTCCAAATAAATCAAATCAGACTAACAAGTATAGGGGCCTTATTGAGAGTCTCGTACATTTGGGGCCGAATGATTGGTCCAATTTTCAAAAAAAAAAAAAAAAATCTGAAAGAACTATATTACAAAGACTTGGGCCAGGCTGAACCAAGAAAAGGTAAAAAGGAAAAGGTAACAGCCAATAAGAATATAAGATCATCTCAGACCCAGACCACACCTCCCAAAAAATATTAAGCCATCTGTAGAAAAAAGGCCACAGGGATCACCTATACGTCCACCAAAGTCCCTAAACATTAGATTAAGTGCATGACCAAAGGAAACGGATACGACTAGGTATTAGGTTGGTGCAAAAATAATGACGTAATAATGTCGTTTTTTTAGGTTAAAAATACGTCACAAAACGACATTATTACGTCATTATTTTTGCACCAACCTAATAAAAAAGCCAGAAAGTTCAAACTCAAGTCTGTACAGAAAACGTTTTGATAAGTTGGAAGAGATGGAAATGGAGACAGCTCTTAGGTTGGTGAATAAATAATGACGTAATAATGTCGTTTTTGACGTATTTTTTAACGTCAAAAAACGACATTATTACGTCATTATTTTTGCACCAACCTAATAAAACTTCTAAGACAAATTAAGAACTAAATCAGCCATAAACACAAAAGAGTACAAGTTTGTATAAAATAATACAATGGAACTGCCGTGGAGTAAAGACAA